TGCTGTGAAAGATAACATGCTGCTTCTGTGATTAAACAGTGCTGAAAACCACAGACAGAGACACAAAGAGAGTAACTGCTACCTGTCTGCATAAAATAACACTAATGCTGGAGAAATATTTAAGTAATAAGCAGCAGGGGTGGTTGGAAATGTGTCTGTGCTGAGCTGATGAGAGCTTCTCAGCCTCCAGGAGGTGCTAAATAGTCCATTCTTCATTTCGTTGAACATGATTTAACAGCTGATTTTGTTGTAAAAATGGTGGTATGATAGACACTAAGGTTATAACACAATACAATTTATTTCTAAACAACATTGCTGCACTCCATTCCTGTACCTTTTGTTTAAAATAGTTTAAAAGTAACCAAATGTAATAAAATCTACCTTGAGCTGCTCCCGTGTCAAAAGAGGCCACCACAGTGGAACCGAACAAAAGCTTGACACAGATTGTGTAAAAATAACCACTTAACCTTTGTGTCTAAAAGATACCAAATGAAGGTAAACTAGGGCTGGGCTGTACTTTTGTGTAATACCAATTTGCTCCACAAGATGGCGCAGGAGGTTGACATCCACTGGTCAAACATTGCCCCCTCCTGGTGAAGGTTTTACTTCAGTTCTTATTAAAAAGGTCCTTTAAAAAACGTAACGGCATTTTTGTTTAGTTACATATGCTAAATACAACACATGCCTGTCAATGTGACATGTAAATGTAACAGATTTTCTTATGTTGCCTTTTTGTCATATTGTTTATTGGTTTGAGACAAAAGTTTTTTGTAACATGTTAATCCTAGTTTTTCATCAGTTAGGATTGTTACAAGCTCACATGTATACATTTGAGGGCTCTACAACTACCTTTAGATTAGTTGCGAGTTAAGATTTATTTCATCTTAAAGTTACAGTGAGTCTTTTTCTGTTTTGTTTTTTTGTTATTTAACAGGAAAAAAGCTTGTATGCTCATAAATATCCATTTATTAGTGTGTATTTACATCTTTTAAAAACTGATGTGTAGTTGTAAACTTAGAATTAATCTATTAAAAATACATAGGAGCAGGTTTGTGGAAGCCGCCACGTTGCCGTGGCTTCCACGTGGAGGAGATGAATGCCATCATTCCGTCTAATTATGTTTTGGGTAGTTGCCTAGAGATGGACCACATATGTAGTAAACCTTACAAGTCACTTTAAATATCAAGACCATAAATAGCTCCTTCAAACTATATAGCCCCTGAACTGAAGCCAAGGCTCTAAAACAAACATAAAATAAATAAATAAATAATAATAATAACAAAGTTATTTATATAGCACTCTTCAAAACACAGAGTTACAAAGTGCTTCACAGTTCAAATAAGAGCCACACACTGAAGATAAATGTACATGTTAAAACATACAAACACATAAATACACACATAATCAGCCACACCGACAAACATTTATTCCAACATACACACATACATGCACACATGGTTTCAAACTATGGCAACGAATGAAGGGAACGGATTAATGAAACTCTATAAAAAAGAGTTTTCAGCATTCGCTTAAAACAAATAACCGATCTGATTGACTGAGGAAGGCTGTTCCACAGTTTGAGCGCTACAACCTCAAAAGCACAGATCACCTCTGTTTTTAAAATCACAGCGAGGATAGGAAGGCCCTGGTTAGACGATTGAGAGGTCGGCTGCATGGATAAGATGTTAGAAGCTCAGGTAAATAAGCAGCTATATAAGTTAATAACAGAATTTTATAGTAGATCCTGAATTACACTGAAAGGCAGTGGAGGGATGCAAGGATAGGTGTAATATGAGACTGCCAGCTAGTTTTGTTAGCAGCCTTGCTGCTGCCTATTGAAGATGAGCTTTGGAGGACTGAGAGACACATGTGAAAAGTAAATTGCAATAATCAAAGTGTGTACTAAAAGTTTAAGATGACTTACTGACATTAAAAGTTTGATTTTCACAATATTTCTCAAATGAAGGAAACAAGACTGGGTGATCTTCGAGATATGATTTTCAAAATTCAGCTGCTGATCAAAAGTGATACCAAGGTTTTTAGCAGATGATTGTATATTATTGGTGAGGGGGCCGTTGTACTGAATACCTGCCTTAGCTGCCTGGGCTGAGCACTGGAACCTCAGGTCTACAGGAACTGAGAATTAGAATAGATCCCATTAATAATGGCAAAAAACAAAATCAAAACAGGAGACAGGAGAGGTTGTTGAGCTCGACAGAAAAATGTCACTGTGTGTCATCTGCATAGTAGTGGTAGGAGATTCCAATAAAACCATCAATTTGTTGGCTCAGCGGTAACATATATAAAAGAAACAGAACTGGTCCATGGATTGAACCCTGGGGCACTCCACATACGAGCATTACAGATTACAATATACATCGATTAATAGGAATTCTGAAATATTTGTTTGATAAGTATGAAGAAAACCATTTGAGAGCAGTGCCACTGATGCCAACCCAGTTTTGTAGTCTGCTAATAAGAGTAGCATGATCAACAGTATCAAAGGCCGAGCAGGACTAAAATGGGATGTTCAGCCTCATCCGAGCGCATAAGGTTGTCGTTAGTAATTTTCAATAATGTCTGTAACCGCATTGGAATTTATCAAAGATGTTTCCTTCAACAATCTGAAGGAGCTGACAAGCATAAACTTTCTCAAGGAGTTTGGAAATAAATGAGAGTTTGGAAATTTGCCTTTAATTGTTTTAAACAGTGGGATCTAAGGAGGGGTTTTTTAGTAGAGGAAAGATGCCGGCTGTTTTAAAGTAATCTGGAACTGACTGATAAAAAGGGACTGATTGACAATAGAGAGAAGCTGGAGGAGATGACAGGGAGAAACTCTTTAATGAATTTAGGAGGCATGATGTCGGTTTGGCAGGGTAAAGTGCGGATATGTGAGACGATATCCAAAAGAGCTATTGAAGAAATGGTTTGAACTCAGACAACAGAAATGGGTGAGCGACTTGGGTGGTTAAAGTGGTACAGACTTGAGCTGTGATCTGATACTGTTGATCTTGCCGGTGAATTTTTTCGCAGTCATTAGAAGATATTGGAGTGATAGCAAAGTGAGGAGGATGAAGAAGTTTGTTGTTGGTATCAAATAAAAACTTTAGATTATGTCTGTTGTTGTTAATCAAACTAGAAAAAATATACTACTACTACTACAACTACTACTACTAATAACAATATTAATAATACATTTTATTTATAGGCACCTTTAAGACCCTCAAGGTCACCTTACAATAATACAATAACAGTAGCAACAGCAAAATAACATTTAAACATAAGGTAAAATATGCAGTTCTCGTGTATTTTGTGAGTTGGATGAGTGTAAATAATAACTCCTTCATATGGAAATAGTGAACATGGAGATTAGTCTTTTTCCATCAACATTCAGCTCATGATCATTTATTGCCAACATAGTCAAAAGTACTTATCGTCAGGAGAATAGACATTCAACCCTGCCGTCTGCAGACAGCTATGGGCCGGCTAAGCAACAACAACAACAGCTGGTTGTAAGTTAACATTTCGCCAGCTAATATTTTTTTATTAAATCACACTTTTCCTCTCATATATACACTGCATTCTCACATTATATGAGAGTTAATTCAGAAAGGTTCAGGACATCCCCACTCTCCTCCAATGACACCTTACTGCTATCACTGGACAGAACTGAGCTTTTCTTAATCATCGACTCTTATTCAAAATGTAAAAGCACACTCCAGAGTAAATTGATGTGGAAACCCAGCATAATGACAGCTGAGGTAAACAGTGTGCTGACAGCCTACACTCACTACAGATGAACAGTGGCCAGACTTGTTTGAGCTACAGCAACCACTGTAGTTAGGATTCTGTTGTTGTTGAAATGGGAGGAGTTAAAAAAACAGAACTCAGTTGATTGCAATCTTTTGTCCATTGGTGAGGTTTTACACACTGTACCTTTAAAATTGTGAAAACTTGGATATTTTTGGAGGAGATAGCAAAAAGAATTTAATTGATACCCTTAAAAGTTGGAAAATATCAATGTTCACAAAATCATAACTCAGGTTGCTGCGTTGAATTTGAGAAAGTTTTGACAGTTGGGTTTAAAAAATAATCATTAAAGAGGCCCCATAACAAAGGATTACAACAGCCAAGCAATTTCAGAGTTACTTTAACAAATTTTGGGAGCAGAAACTTTAGAAATAAGGGTGGATTTTTTTTATGTGCTTTGACAAATTGTCAGTTACTGTATTTTGTGGTATCTACTGTACCAAATTATAGGTTCAGTTGGAAGTACTGGTGGTACCATCCCTCAGTGCCCTAATATTTTAGGACTCATAGGGTGCTGTGTAAGACTAAAATCAATGATGGTCTAAGTGGAGTGTATGAACATGTAATCATTTGGGGGAAGTTAATAATTTTGGGGTCATTTTGCCTCTGCACACCAGAGTTGCCAGTATCATACAGTGGAGTCTTGATAATGTAACAATTTATTTTGGATACCTTAAAAACAGATGAATGCTGGAAGCCACAGATCAACTTTGGAGCTATTATAGTAAAATCTACATCCTGTCCTTTTAAAAAATATAATAAATATCTGGACTTCCTTTAAGACACTGCATGTATATTCTTTATATTATGAGTAACCTTTCAGATCACAGAGTGGAACTGAGTTGAAGCAGCTGCTCCAGCTTAGTGAGCTCCTGCCAGGACCCCAGAAACTTCAGTTCCGGCCCTGGACTCCAGATTAAAAAGGAAAAGACTGACGCGGGGTTTCGTTTACTAGACTGTGTAATATTTTCCCGTTGATTCACAAAATTTAAAGTGGGTAAAAACCTCTGACAGTTTTCCCCCACTAATCCCCCGCGACCCCGCTCTGCTGCTGTCTCCTTGCGGCCGAGACGCACAGAAGCCCTTCATCACCGGAAAGGAATGCAGAAAACTATGTAAAAGTTTCCGAGTGTGTGAGTCCTTCCGTGCTGCATTTTCAGAGGTTACACATCACTTTTGGCCCGGCTGGATGTCGTAAGAGCTCGCGGCGGGGTAGGCAGAGCTGGGAGCAGCCCCCCTGTTAAGTAGCAGATTGTGTGGAGACTCTTCCCACTTGGAAGGAGGCTCGCCGACGCGTCTGGGAAGCAGAAATCCGCGGAGCGCCCTGACTTCAACTCCGTACCACCTCACTCTCCCTTGTGTCGGGCTGGGGGTCTACAGCGAAACCTTTATCCTTTTAATTTTTTTTCTTTTTGAGCAAAACTAAAATTCAGCCAGCCATCTCTATAGGTCAGTCGTGCATGGTTTTTACATTTTTGGTACCATCTGTGGGGGATTATTTTTGTCACGATTTATTACAGGCTTTTTTCAGGTTTAAATATTGAGTTATCTGAATTCAATAATATTCCATTCATTTCTATATTTATTTGGACTATTTTGTGAATGCGTGGATTATTTCTCGACATTGCCGTGCGTAATTGCGCACGGCGCTACAGCTCAACTCGCCATTAAGATAAAATGGAAAGACTTTGTGCCCGTTAGAGTGGGTCATTTTCATCAGGCGGAGATATGAAATACTTGATTGGAGTCTGCAGAGTTAATGCAACAATAACTCGAGCTCCTTTAGAAAGTGGAAAAACGGAATTTTACGGGGAAAGATGAGCTAATGATTTGCTTTTGTGGGATTTTTGTGGGAAGTTTTAAAAGTTTCAATATGTAGATTTTGGCGAGTTTTACACATTTATACATATGAAGTCTGTCGTGTAAGTCTTTTGTCGCTGCTTGTGGAACTTTTTCAAGCGTCAGGATGACTTTCAGACTCATTCCTCTCTCCAAAGCGGCGTATTCTGATAACTTTTCAGCCTGATGTAGATTTGAATGAAGATTAATGAGCTCCGAGGTTCTCGTTCAGATAGGATTAACAGTCTTATGAAGCCCTGAGGGAGTTTAACTGCCTCCTTGGTTCCTCTCGCAGTTTCATTCATGCACTGCTGAGACCAGCGGAGCTGAAGATGAAGAGCAGGCTCTCTCTGGCAGCGGTTGCTGCCGTCCTGGCACTGCTGCTGTCCTCCTCTCAGGCCCAGGAGCAAGGTAAAGCCGCTCCTCCTCCTCCACTTCTTTTAATTCAACACATCTGAATTCTTCCACCTCCTCTCACCTCTGTCTCTCCTCTGCCTGCTGTGTGTAGCTGCACTTTTAGTCTAAATGAATAAAAAAAAATCACTGAAGCAAATGTGTACCTGTGGATTGATTTGTTTGAACTTCTGATTTTAACTTCTGTTTGATGATTTTTTGTGATCCAGTGATTCACTTTTCCATCAAGAATTTCTGCTTGAAGAGAAAAACGACCTCAGCTTGAAATACATTGAGTTTGAGTTTCTAGACGGGAGGGTTTTTGTATTATTACTTACTACTCAACTTAATGAGAGCACGAATGCAGCTCAGATTTAATTGTGTAGTTAGATGTGGCTTCATGTTGGTGATTAACAAAAAAAAAAATCAGATATACGGTGAGAATATCATCACCTTTTTCCTGTAATTGAAAACCAAACCAAGCAGTCTTGTTCTTAAATGTTGAAAGAAAAAAAATGTGATTAAAATTAAACGCAGTCTAAGTTTTTAACGCCAGGTGGCGCCGTTTATCGAAATCCCCGACTGCCTTTTACTACAGATTACATTCCTCCAGTTTTAAAAAAGTAGAAGAGGAAAAAAGGAAAAAGCCCAGGCGGCACGTAGCCAAGTTTCCTCCCTAGGTCTTTTCTCCTGATGGAACGGAAAGACAAAATATGAGTTTCGCGTTATTTTCCAGAGGTTTCAGAGGTTAGGACAGGAGACAACTGGCTGCACTGAAATCTGGATCATCCCAGAATAAAAGCAGAAGAAAGCACAGTTAAAAAAGAAAGAAGGAAAGTTTCTTCTTCTCTCCTTTCCAAGAGACTTTCTGACCTCCTGAGACCCCCTCTCTGTCTTTAATGTCCCAACGGGGGCCCCTGGCTGCCTTTCCAGGGGTCACGGCACAGTAATGGGTCACATATATTCCACAATAGTTTGATGCTAGGGCCGGACTTAAAGGCTGAAACACCTTGAACACAAAGAAGCCTCCAAACGGGAAGGGCTCGGCTCCAAACAGTCCCATTTCAGAGCAAGAACTGCAGAATAAAATCAGTTTAGAACCGAGCCCTGGATGTGTTTAAAATGTGGATGAATGTGCGTGTGGATGGTAACAGTGTGTGTCTGGATTAAAAGCTGAAGTTTGTCGGGTAGTTTTTGGCTGTGATACCCCCCGTTCGGAAACAGAAGCAGCGGCCCCCTCCCCCACGCGGCCCTTGAATTGATTCACCAGGTTGGTGGTTCCTCCATTTTTAACGTCCTGTAACCTTCCCCGGTCAAGCCTTGACCCCCCAGGTCTTGGCTTCACGACAATATTTTACAGTGATATTCTTCACCCCTCCCCCACACTAACATAAAAACAACTGGTTGGTGGTCTAGAAATCCCGGCTAATCTATAAACTGTAGCTAGATCATCTGTATTTAGATTTATTTAATCCGTGCAGCTGGAAAGGTTGATGAGATGATCACAAACTCCGGAGCTCAGGTTACCCGCTGCGAACATGTGCTGATAAACTTCCTGCAGCATGAAAAGATTAAGAACTAGACACAGTTTTTCCACCTGTTTGTTACATGCAGAGGTTTATCGTGCATTTTTCTTTACAGTCAACCAATCCCACAAAAAGACCCAAACTAACAGCAGATGTTTCCTTCTGGTAATAAGTCACCTTCTTTAATATTTCTATTTGCTATAGAGCTCCACCGTAGACCTCGGAACACTGATGGACTCAGTTTTTGATTCTGGCAAACATGGGCACCATATTTGTGTTAATCTGCCTCTAAATATAGTCCCAAATGTGTGCTTTCCTGTATGTTCGCCAAAATCTTCAGCTTTGAACAGCTGTTTTTGGAAATTACTCAATCACTTTGAAAAATATAAACCACTTGGGAGCTTTGTGTGGGATTTATTGACAAGAAAGAAATTACTGAAAACCGTTATTCTCATTTGTCAGGAACAAAGTTACACTTCCTGTTATAGAAACAGATTTGTCTCTGCTTTTGTGCCTGAGGCAGACAGACAGTTGTGTTTATATTCAGCTATTTAAAGCCATATTGTGACTGAATGCCTTTTTTGTAGCACCAAGTTAGAGTCAACATCTTTGTGTATTATCTTGATAGCAAGCTAGAGCATCATAAATAAGCACCCCAACCTGAAGAATATCATTTTAAAATATTTCTTTAAAAACAGTCTGTGGTCCCTCGTGTACATGGAAACTTTTTGTTCATTGTCCTAAGTTGTTGTCAACAACTTTTCATGTACACGTGCATGATCTGCTTGTTTTGTTGCTTGTGGAAAGAAGTTGATAACATACGTTTAGAGACATGCTCTGTGAATAAATATAATTACTATCCTCCATGTCAATTTGGTTTGCTGGTTAACATGACAAAGACCAGTGGTTCTTAAACTATGATCCGAATCCTAGAAGTATTCTTGGAGTCTTAACTGTATGGTAAATTTCCAACAAAGGTAGATTATGGATCCTTTTTTTTTAGACTTAAATAGTTTAAGAACCTCTGGTGTAGATTCTTTGGAAACATAAGAAAAAGATGTACACATGTCTGCACTCACATTGTGTATTCTTTTATGAGGTTTGCAATGGAGACAATGAGAGTGATGACTCCGGTCTTTATCCATTGTATAATCAGCACTTTCTTGGTCAATTCAACATCCTGTGTTGGATTGAGGTCATGGACAGACTGCTGGATGTCCGTCAGTCCATGTTGGAGTTAGCTGACAGGAGGAGATCGTGACTGGTGATTTTCAAAATTAAAAAAAAAAAACGACATCACCAGCCACAAACATTTCAGGATTCAAAATATTTAAAAGGTGTTGTTATCTGCATCCATGAGAGGTACGGAAGCAAACACAGGCCAAAACAATTGAATATTTTTTAAATGTAATTATATTTTATTATTATTACTATTATTATCATTATGATTGTGGCTGTTCCCTCTAGGGATCGCCATGTAATTATGGAGTTGGGAAATACTGTAGGTTGAGTTGTTAATGTTCAAATTTAAACACCAGGTAATAGCAGTGAAATCTTAATCAGGAAACAGTCATCATTCAAATTTTAATTCCTTAAAAGTTTTGTTCAATTGATTGAATTAGCAATGTCAGGATATAAAAACAAAAAAGTCTCACAATAAAGCTATGTGGCTGAAGCATGGTGTCAGTAATACCATTTATGATTGATTATGCTTCATGTCTTAAGTGTTTGATGTTGAATTTTCCATTTTAGATGCTGTTGTCTTAATTTTATAACTCTGGTTTTACCAATCAACAAAGATTTTAAAATGTTACATAAAAGATGTGAGGGTAAATCCCATACGAGTCGAATAAAGACTCCTCAAACGCATTTTTTAAATATATGCCATCGCTTGTTGCTCTTAAAATTCATTTGACCTGTTTTTTGCTTCCATATTCATGATCACGCCCAAAATTCACCAGGTCTCATATACGAACCCTCTGTGTGTCCCTCCTAAGTTTTAGATACCGTTGTGTTGTGTTGTGTTTGTTGTCTTGGTCTGTTGCCTGAGTTGTTGATTGTAGCCACACGAGCCAAACGGAGGTCATTTTTTTGTCTTCAAAATGGCTTTCCTCTCATTTGTAGTTTGGTGCGTCTTGTGTTGTTTGCACCAACAGTGAACTTGTCTAACTTCACCTTGGAAGTGTTGACTGTTGGTCCTTTTTTATAATGATCACTACAATACACTTCGCTCTTAAAGATAAAGTGCTAACTGCATTGATGTTTTTTCTTCACAGTGGACTCTCCATCAGACTTAAGATTTAAGATTTTAAGTGAGAACTCAGTGGAAATGATGTGGAGGAGACCACGGTCGAGGATACAGGGTTACAGAATAGAAGTGACCTCAGACACAGGTTGGTGCTCATTAAACCTGCAGGTTCTGTCGTGCCATGCCTGTAACATTACAAGTGTCATAAAGATTTCACTCAACCTGACAGGACTCAGCACTTACCGCAATTATCTAAAGGTTTCTGCAGACACAAGTTTAGCTCCAGGAGCTTCTAATGATAAAAAAGGAAAAACATTATGAATGGAGAAATCTTATCATCGGTTGCCAGCGCTGAACTTTGCCAGCACTGACATTGCAAACTGCAATCTGTGTTACTTTAGCTCAGGCATACACATGTAAGACCTTTTATGTAATAGCTGAGATATTTATGCATAGATTTAAAAAGAAGAGCTATTATTTCAAATGATCCAAGACTTTACCCAAAATAACTCACCACTTTCAGAAAGACCATGTGCTGTTTCAACATCTTCACAAAGCACAGCCTTAGAGTATATATACTTGTACTATATTATACTAACTTACTGATAGAACAAACATTAGTTTGCATGCTGATAGTCACCAACTCATATTTCAGAATCATCATTCAGAACCCAGTAAAATGTCCTCAACTAAGACTTCTGTATTCTATATAATTTCAAAAATTGTTAGTAAAACTTACGTGAGTACAAGTTTCTTCTTATGCATGGAAAAAATAGCACTAACATCATACACTGAGTAATAGAACTAACTTTAGCTTATATATATTTAAATGTTGCCAGGAGTAAGTGACTTATTGTTGCTAACTAAAATTAACATCAACTTATATACAATCAAACACAGACATACTTTTAATAGCTGACAGAACTAACATCAGCAAAGTCAAATGTAGATAGTAAAAATATGTCATTTACATCTAACTAACATTCAAACACTCACAGGGGTATGCAATGTGCTGTTACTAACTAAAAGAATTAACGTCCACTCACATACGATCAAACACAGACACTAATTAACAGAACTATTAAATCATTGACAGGTAAGGGACGTACTGTTGCTAGTTAACAAAACTAGCATCAGTTTAAATACAAACATGTAAGTAAAAGTAAGTGAAACACTTTTTTTTAATTTAACAGAGCTAATGTTTAGTTATTTATTGGCAATTGCTATTCAAAAGCCATCTTAAGAAAGTGTACTAAGTGAGTAGCATATTACTTTCAATAACAGATCTTTTCTGACAAGAAACAGGTACTGAGATTATTAGCTTTTCAACATGAAGGCTTTACAAGGACTAAATTGATGAGGCTATGATGTGAATGTGACATATCATTGCTATTGCTGAACGAGCTAAGTAACAGAACTAATATTAGCTTTAATATGTATATTCATCAACAACAAGTTGTAACAGCTACATACTATTAGCTAGCTAACCAAACCCCAAAACTGTAGCTTGCACTTCCATATTGACTAAGAAATAAGGATAACAGTTACATACCTTGACTAACTGCCCATATAGCTAACTTTAACATTAGCCTTTCTATTCATGTCAATTAGCAAATAGATTAGCCAGTTATCTTTTTTTTTTTTTTTTTTGCTGAGATAGCAAAACAAGAGTCATTTTTATTAAAAAAAAAAGTCAACCTACAAAAAGGTCAACCTAGAAACGTTTCAAATGATGTTAAAAACAAATACTAAATAAATAAGCTAGGATGGGTAACTGATAAACACCAAGGTTGATATATTTTGTCAAGAAATAGGCCTAATATATAACAGTAAATATTTTTACGTTTCTGTTTTTTGTTAAATAAAAAAGTAACTGAAAATTAGTTTGTAAGTTTTACAGTTTCAGTTATTAGAGGCAAAGAAAGATTAGAGAAAGTTTTGACATTAAATATAATCTGTTAATATTGTTCATTTCTATTAGCTGAGGCTAAGATATTTTTTAACAAATAATTAGCATTCATCTTATGGAACATTCAGGGGAATTAAAGGGTTAAAATAATGTGTGTTTTATAGTAACAAAGAAAGTTGTTTTTTTATCAAATCGATTGTACTATTGTGTGTTTACATGGCTATTCCAGTCCCCGGGTCAGCAGTCGAAATCAGGTTTTTCTGAAGCCCTGTATTGACTCTTGGAGAAATCAAGTCATGTAATAGTTTCCTAATGACTTCCCTCTGACTTTGTGCATTCTTGTAGAAGAACCAACAAAAGAATTTACTCTGCCTGCATCTGCCACTAAGACCTCCATTTCAGACCTGACTCCAGATGTGGATTATGTCGTAACGATAACTGCATATTCTGGATCAGAGCAGAGTCTGCCCATCTCCGGCCAGATCACACGTGAGTCACCGTGTCGCTGCATTTGTGTGCTTGTGGAAATCAATGCCAGATGTCCCGTGAAAAGCTTAAAAAAAAGCTAAAAACTAACACCGAGTGTGGAAGATAACAGAGAGACACCTGCCAGGTGTTTCCCTTTCACCAGTATATGTTAATAACATTGCTCGGTTTCTACATTCGTTTCAGTATTTTGGTGTTTCAGTACAGCAGACTGTTCGTCATTCAAGGAAACAACCTCAAATGTATTTCTTTATTTAAATTGCTTTAATTTGACTTAAAAATAGGTTTGTATTTAATTCTTTATCCTGGAAACAGTAAATCACAAAGCAAGCTCACCACAAGGTCCATTTAGCATGACATTTGGAGTCAGTTAAGACAATTTTTAGTTTTGCCAAAGTTAAAAACTGTAGACTAAAAGTCTGACTTGACAGATTTAAGCAAATCTGCAGCACAGGGAGCCAGCCAGGACAGATTCCAGTTGTATACAGTTTCCATTCTGCTGGTGCCATGTGATATGGTCAGAAGTTCTAGAAAAAAATCCACCAAGCAATCGTGCTGGTGAGCCTTTTTTCTCAACTGCTGCTTTTACTGGTTATTAGTCTGAGAGTTACTTAGGAGAGACAGAAAATTGTCTTTGGCTTACTCATTGATACCATAAATTCGAAAGCAAAAACAAGACAATTGAAAACAGGCACGAGGAACAGCATGAACAACATGACTTCAAAGGTGAGTTTTTTTAATGCAGAAGGGAGGGGTTTTACTATTTACAGAATTTTTTGAATAGTTTACCACTACCTAATTACAGAAAAAAGACACAAGAGCAGCTCAAATTGTATTGTGCAAAAATAATGGCTACATTAAGTTGTGCAATGAGAATTTATAAGTAGGCATCGCTTCTTTTGACCCTTTTGCAATTCAAAAACAATTTGTTCTTCTGCACTTGGAAAACAGCAACCTGTAGCGTGTCTACCACAGATTTCCATCAACATTTTTCCTCTATATTACTTTACCATAATCAACAGTTCCAGCACCAAAAGATAAAATTTCATTATTCACTTTGGTCACTTGGCTGAAGACATTTTTGAAATATTACAGCCTGTTATTATTGAGGTAAAGGTCTTGGTGAGATTAAAAACCTATTTTCAAGAGTTACCTGGCCTAAAAGATAACTGATATAAGCATAAACACACAAATACAACTGTCAAACGCTACAGTCAGTGGACACAACGTCTACCAATATTATTTTCTCAGTTCTATAACACCGACTTAAATTCCCACATAGTAATCAGCTCAGATTTTTCCAGGAGATAGGGACAGCATAATTAAAGGTAGTTTTTGGAATCACCCTTACTAACATGTTACTAAATTGTTCACCACTAGGGGGCAGATACCAAAGGATAACAGCAGCACACATTTCAACACATTGCCCCTGTTGGTGAAAGATCTATGTACATTTTGCAGAATGTTATTTTTGAAAAAGTACCTTCAAATAATGTTTGTATTAACATACTGCACCATCTTATTGCACTAAGAGGTATTAGATATTTTTTAAGCCTGGCCCTAGTTCAGATTCATTTAACACCATATAAAGACTTTTTTTTTTTTTTTTTTACCATTTTTGATCATTAAAAAAAAGGAAGAAAGAATTTACAAAAAGTACCCTTTTTGCCTAATTCTGTTTCGGACCAAAAAATTGTAAAATACAATGAGGAATAAAGTCATACTGATTATGGTTTTTACTCATACATGAACAGCAGTTAGAGGAAACCACTCCAAGGAGAGGTTTGTAGCTAAAAATCAACCAATAGAAAAGACTGAAGACATTTAAAGATAACAACTTGTAAATAAAATGTAAAGCACTTTGGTGTTCAGAGGAAGAAAGGATTTCTTCGGATTGTCAAACCAGGGATAGGCCTAAACCATGTTTATGATGTTTACAAGCAAAAGTATGAAATGGGACACTGACCCAGATTTCAGGCTTTGACTGAGGTCTTCACTGACATCATGGCAGCAGTTTTTGGTGGGGACAACTGATGATCTGAGAAGCCCTCTGAGCTTGAGCTATGCTGGAAATCCTACACAAACTATGACATCAACCTGACAGTTTCTCCATTTGGGAGCTCATTTGGAAGTTTGTTGCATCACGAAAAAGGAAAAATTGCTCAAGAAACTCTCTGATGAGAGGATAAATCCTACGTAGGGAAATTTAAAACACAAGAGTTGGGCTGATTTCAGAGGTCTGCCTTCAGATGAAGAAAAACAGTGACAGAAAATGATTCATAACATGTCATCACTGTAAAGATATTGGGTTTCCTGAGGATAATTTCAGCACAATAGATGATATGAACTGACTTTTGTAATTACGCGATTGTTTCATTGTCTTACAGTTGAATCTAGTGGAAGCACAAGAGGAACTTCCAGGAAACCAGACTCTTCAGATTCAGCCAGTGAGTACTTTTGTTCACTTATTACACACCTTAGTTTGACCAGGGGTTTCACTTCCTACTCAGATAATGATGAGTCATAAATCCACTGCCATACCTCCTCGACTTTTTGTTCGTGGGTTTTCTTCTGGGCGGTGTTCATCAGTGTGAGCTTAGCAGTGAAGGAAGGCTCTACAAACACCCCATTGTATAGCAATAATCAAAATTAGGGCCCCACAAATCTCTGAAGGATTTGGTCATCGATTTGGTTCCCTGCCGAGCAGTTATGCCAATACGGGGGAAGCTGCACATGCTCAGTGCGGCGGGGGTCATAGGTGTGGTGGGAGGTTGCTGCTGTTGGAGCTGTGGGAGTGAGCTGAACCCAGCCCCGAAGTGCTGAGAGAAGTGGAAACCATTACAGATGCTGATTTACAAGAGCGCTGCTGCTGCCACTGCTGCCCTGGCCCCCGTTCTGCACACGATGACGAGGTTGTGCAGATTTTTCCTTCTCTTCATGAGGGGAAAGTCACGAGGAAACTCCCAGAAAGCAGGGCAGAGGAGAGACAATGAAGTCTGGTTCAACAAACAGTGTCTAAATTAACAAAAAATAATGACTTTAAAACATGCTGAGCTGAGAAAAGTGAATGCGAGTAAATCCAACATCTTAACACCCCCAAGTAAAATTTTAGTGGTTAAGGTCTGTTTAAAAGTTTAGGATTAGGCAACTAAAAGTATGCCACTTTATACTGTAAGCTGAAGGTTCTAATGTTAGAGAGAAGAACCCAAAAATCCGAAGAAACATCCACATTCAGGTCTACACAGTGGCAGGACTTGAACACCAGCACTGCTGAGCTGTTTGGCGTGATGATCTTTGATGTAGCCAGCAACTTCTGAAGCTTCATTGAGTCACTTGTTAGCAAATGCTTTTTCTGGCACATGTACAGGATTCAACTTCATGAGTGGGATATTTACTGACATCTTAGTTTAACCCTCAGGCCTTAATTTCAAGCATTAACCAAACAAATCCACTCAAATTGACTTTCAGACGAGAGAGCCAAAAGTGGAACAATGCAAATCATTATTTAATCTAAAATAACACTGAGTGGGTTTTTTTTTAGTCTCAACAAAGAATATAAACGTTATCGAGAAAGTACTGCCACTGAATAAACCTAAAGTCCAAGGCTATTACTCACATATGGGGGCAGAAAAATTACATTTTCTGTTTAATGTTCAGCGTTTTCTTCCTTTTCATTCTTGAACTTTTTTTGCAGGATGCTCTGCCAGCGTCATCGGCGATGTGGTGTTCTTGGTGGACGGCTCCTGGAGCGTGGGCAGGCCAAACTTCAAATACATACGCTCCTTCATCTCTGCGGCTGCCGGAGCCTTTCATATCGGCGAGGAAAAAACCCGGGTAGGCGTGGTCCAGTACAGTGATGACGCCAGGACTGAGTTCAACCTGAACGAACACCAGACCAGACCGGCGCTTCTGCGGGCCATCGGCTCAATGCCGTACAAAGGAGGCAACACGAACACAGGTGACCTGTTGATGCTGTTCAGTTCTTTGGGTTTTCTGTGGAGTTAAATTGACCTGGGACATTTTCAATCAGTAACACCCTTTTTAAGGGGGATGTTTATCTTTGGTAGCAAGAATAATCGTTTTTTAATACATGACTGTTAAAGACTGATTTGTTTTTGTGAGGTGAGTGCTCATTTCACGTGTGTCTCGCTTGGCTCACTTGACAAATATGCAGGCAAAACTCTGGGATGTAAGGGAATTAAAAACACATCCATTAAAGTACAGGGAAATAAAATTATAATCACATTACACACAGTTTAACTTGCTGAGAAAGCAATAAAGCAGCCTTGTCAGGGCCACTTGAGTCAAAACGGGATTGTTATTGCAAGTGAAGTCATTTAAATTTGGCGAGATCACTCTGATCTGGGACCTCCCCGCCCTTCCATGGGTGTACATGGAAAGAGAGCAGCAGCAGGACCCTCTGACAAAACAGAGCAGGCATTGATAATAAGAGAAATGACAATGATTAATTCAGATACAGCATGAAATGGAAGAGCTGGATTAGAGGTGGGCTGCAAAGTAGCTCACAGTAACTGTATGCAGAGTGAAGTAGTGCCTGAATAGTGCACGCAAGATGAAATGAGAAATGCCAGGAGTGCCACTGAATTTGAACCATTCCTGCTAAGACCATGCTCATTTTAAATCCTCAAATTTTGAAACAGACCACATATGAAATGTTCAGAAGACAGATCAAGAAAATTACAAGTAATATAAAATTTCGTCAAGAAAAGAGAAAGAAAAAATGGAGTTTATATCAAACTTGAAGGAGCGCATGATCAATGAAGGTACCTCAGAGAATTAAATGTCAAAAAGTTTGGTGGTGGATTTCTCATCATGATTATGTGCTGTGTTTCATCCTTCTGTGATATCTCTGATTTTGCTGCTCGGTTTATTGCTGAGTTTGAGTTTTGGTCTACAAAAAAATTTCCTGAATCAAATAGTTGTTTTTCTCCTCATCATTCTACAATTTAAATCTAAGAACACCCAATGAAGTAAAACTCTTCTCTCTCATTGGTCCAGGTGACGCTCTGGACTACGTTTTGAGAAATGTTTTCAGTGAGGCGTCCGGCGCCAGAAACAGTCTCCCCAAAGTGCTGGTGATCATCACAGATGGCAAATCTGAGGATCCAGTGGCGAGCTATGCCAAGCAGCTCCGGAGCACGGGGGTGGAGATCTTTGTCCTCGGTATGCAGCCAGAGCAATTTTATTGCACTCCACATTACATTTTCCATTCGTATTTAATGCTTTTAGCAGGGGTTTGTAACAAAAGCAACCTGTGGTGACGTAGTAATGGAACAAGGTTAAATTCCTACATCGTTAACCTACAAGCAAGTGATAGCAGGTTTTATGTGTGTTTATGCTCCAGTTTCGCTCAGACTTTCCACAAACTCAGACGAAGAAACACCACTGGGATGTTGCTATGGAGTTAAAGAGGCCTGGTGGTTCAGGACTTATAGCTCATCTTTTGCAGTCAGTGGAAACAGATCAATGATAGAAAACTGCTTAGCGAGACACTAATGGTTTTTAGTTTTTGTCAGAGGACCACTGTAAACTTCCTGCTACGTTCCCTAGAGACAATTTATCGGGCTAGCCATCATGTTTTTGGAGGTTATCCCAGCTTTAAAAGGATTCTTAAAGGTGGAGTTTGGTGGAGTTGTCTTAAGGCAAAGCTTACAGTGACATGGCTTCTTTTGGCAAATATGAGTTCTTAACTTTTGTGGGTCTAAGGTCACGTGTTTTATAGAAACACTGAATGGTGCAGGATATCAGTGCAATATCAGTGCCTCTAATCAAAAAGTTGTTGGGTTTAAACCCCAGCCCCAGCAAATAGGCACTTATGAAAGAACTTTAACCCATATCATAGTTGACCCTGTCTAAAAGCAATAAAAATATTTTTTTAGTAAGTACCTCTCTCAATAAGAAAGTTCACAGGATACCAGCTGTCTTAGTCAAACTTAAATCTATGCATGGATACAACTCTTCCAACAGTGTCAAAGTTTTACAGAGGAGTATAGCACCATAAACCCTTTTCATATTTACTGCCCATGTTGTCAGACTTTCCAACCAATGTGGAACAGAAAAGAGAGCATTTAATATGCAAACGTGGAAAGTAAATGCTCGCTTAACTTTGTTACAGATTGTTCATTTCATCCAGTATTTAGAGACCTGGAGCAAATACACCCGTTACCTCGTCAACCAATGCCAGTGAGTTTACAAGGATGGCTAAGAATTCAGTGGTGTCGCCTCAGCTTAGCTCAAAATGAGGAATCATCTCTAAATTTGGCCGGCATTGAAAACCACAACAATTTCCACATGTTCATGAAGAACCATCCACTCTGCTTTTACCACAGCTTTGAGTTTGTGGTTTGTCTTTTCCCCCTGTAGGTATCCAACAGGCAGATGAAGAGGAGATGAGGCTAATGGCCTCTACCCCTTACAGCAGTCACATCTACAGTGTGGCCACCTTCGACATGATAAAGAACGTGCAAAAACAGCTCATTACTCGGATGTGCGCTGGTGTAGAAGATCAGCTCAATGTGGTAGTCAGTGGAGACGAATGTGAGACATCTTTAAAACTACTACTTTCATGCCTAGTCTGAGTTGTTAAAAAACATTCTCTTGCCATTTGTACCTTTGTTTTTACCCTTTAATATGGTTGAAACTGTAGTTTGATGTAGATTGCAGTATACACTCTTATTTTTTGTATCTTATTTTTTATTTAATTTTTCCAAATATATGACATTATAATTGTGATCCCATCTCTGATTTTTGCAGTTGTTGAGCCAGCCTACAATCTCCAGGTCCAGGAGGTAATCTCAAAGTCCATGCGGTTGATGTGGGACCCCTCTATTGGAGATGTTTCCGGATACAAGATTCAGCTGATCCCCATGATGGCTGGCAGCATGCGTCAGGAACTGTATGTGGGCGCAGGCCAGACCTCGGTGGTAGTCCGAGGTCTCTCGGCAGATACAGAGTACCAAATCGTTCTGTTTGCCTTGAAGGGATTGACACCCAGCGAGCCCATCACGGCCATGCAGAAGACTCTGCCAGTTAGAGTTTCACTGGGTGAGTACCAAACAATGAAAGTAAAAGTTTATAGAGAGACTTCTCTTTGACTACCGGCATAGATTAATGAATAAAATGTCTGTAAGTGTATCAGTGGTTTAATTGGCAGGCTCTGGCAAACTGTACTGACTCAACGCTCTGCTGTAAATAATGCAAAGAAACCTGGAAACATTGTATCAGCTCACATGTCAGACTAAACAAATTGCAGGTGACAATCAAAAAGTTTTGGGAACAGGTCCATAAAAAAGCTTACTAAATTTAAACCAGTGATGTCTAAGTCATCACTTCTAGCTCTAGTCCTGAAGACTAATTTTATATCTTAAAAACAAAAAAAAGTGATTCTTGGAATAAATGTTCATAAATTTCAATGCTTGTTAGTTAGAATACTTCCTTATTTTTCTCCAATGATTGACTTTGGAAAGCAATTAAAAAAACCCAAATTCTGATAGCACAGGGATAGAGTTAGAGCTAGTATTATGCCTGATTAGACCTCAGGGGGCCTCAGTGTGACTTGCAGCCACACTGGAAACTGTGCACTGCTGCCTATTTGACTAGAAAAACCAGCCAAATTCTAATCAATTATAGTTTTCACTTGACTATGAGCGCTCTTGTAACATGTTGTTCAAATGTTGTATTATCTTTAGAGGACTAGCACATGCTATTAAGACTTTCTCAACACCACCATTCTTTAGCTCAATATCAACTTTATACAAGAATAAACACCTTTATTGTAAAGAATTTAACAGTCAACTTTGTACTTTTTTTTCTGTCTATCCAGAATGTTCCCTTGGTGTGGATGTGCAGGCTGATGTTGTCCTTCTGGTTGATGGATCCTATAGCATTGGTCTGGCAAATTTTGCCAAAGTAAAAGCATTCCTAGAGGTGTTGGTCAATACTTTTGACATTGGGCCTGACAAAGTTCAGATCAGCTTGGTCCAGTACAGCAGGGATCCTCACCCTGAGTTCTACCTGAACACTCACCACGATCTAAATGCCGTGGTCAAGGCTGTGCGAAATTTCCCATACCGTGGCGGCTCCACCAACACCGGCAGGGCCATGACTTATGTCAAGGAGAAGATATTCCAGGCTGCCAGAGGAGCGCGTGCCAATGTTCCTCGTGTCACCATCCTCATCACTGATGGAAAGTCATCCGATGCCTTCCAAGAGCCGGCCACCAGGCTGAGAAATGCTGATGTGGAGATTTTTGCTGTGGGTGTTAAGGATGCTGTGCGAAGTGAGCTTGAGGCCATTGCTAATCCACCTGCAGAGACCCATGTGTACACTGTAGAAGACTTTGATGCCTTCCAGAGGATTTCCAAAGAACTCATTCAGTCCATCTGCCTCCGGATTGAACAGGAACTCCGCAACATCCTCCAGAGACGTAAGTAATGTGGTTATAATCCTCTATGCAGATGACATTGTGCTATGCTGGGCTTTGTTTGACCAATGTGCTTGTGTTTTGTGTTTAGGGTTATAGAGTTCCATAAGATTTCATTTTTTCTTTTGATGGATACATATATTATTTTTAATTCAGGCTTTATTTGGACTGTGTTATTTATGTAAAAAAAAAGAAAGCAATGCTCATTTTAATCTAATTCAGGTTGCTTTATGTAGTTGTGTACATCCTAGCTTTAACTGTAATGCTGGATGTTAATCAGTTTTACACACTGAATCCCTATCAAACATGAACATGGTTGAAACAACAAACAACAACAAAACACCACAGAAGTCTTTGTAATTTAATTAATTTGGCAACTGATGACTTTTTAAGTAATGTGAACTTTTGTCCTCTTTTATCTGCATGATAAACTTGCAGATTAGAATAAATTCAGAAAGTTAATTGGAATGGGAAACAGTCAGAAATTGGAGGTTTGTCATTCTTACTCTTCTTTTGATTGAGGATATCTGCTTTATTTCATTTTTTATAATCTATAATAATTGATAGTATAAAACAGTGACTGGACACAAATTTTTTTCAATAGAAAGTCTGAAAAGGACATCTAGGCAATGTCCAAGACGTACATCGTGAAGTCAGGGAACTTACTTTTGTTTGCATAAGTTTTCTTTTTTCAATTACAGCCAGAAATCAAGAGCATATTAACGTTATTCAGCATCATAATTATAGGATTTCTTTTAATGCCAAGCTGTAGTATACCCTATGAACTGTATACCAATACTCCAGCATCAACATTATAATTCTGTGAAAACTAAGTTTGAAGGTTTTAACCATTCGCTGTTGATCTCGGTCTTGAAATTACCAGTCTGCAACAAATGTACTGCTTTATGATTGATTTCAGTGCATTTTTACCTCTTTGGCTTCTCAGTTACACTGGAGGATTCAGTTCTCAGGATTCATGAGTTGAACACCTTCATTCAGATCAGATCAGCCCCTGTCACATTTGAGTACAGTGCAAAAGCTAAAACGCTCAGTGCAAAATATACAAAAATATATTTTTTAAAAACCCCGAAAACTTTTTTCACACAAGTTTTATACTGTTTTAGATGAATTCTGAATTCTGATTTCCTTTGCAGACAATGGTATTTTTTATGTTGATGGATAGAAACAGATCTTTATCCGTTTATTCCGTTTTACATTTGCTAAATTACATTCAGAGGACTTTATGAATAAACATTGCTTATTGTGTTCACATAGATTAGTGTTCACACAATAATGAAATAGAAGTACAACCTCAAAAACTATAAACAAGTCCAGCATCCTGTTGGTCTCTATTTTGGGGTTAATTTCAGAGATTTATCTTGCTTTCTCACTTTATTTGTTTTAAACAAGTTCAACACATGTTGTTAGTTTTTCAAGGTTTTCCACACCAAACAACAGCTTCCTCCTCCTAACCACCAAACAACTGAAGCTGCTTACATTTATTTGCATACAGTGCTAGAAACAATGCCAATGCTTTTGATCAACCCATGGGTTTAGTACAATAATTAGAAATCTTTTCTTTAAAATTTCAGCTCAAGTTCTAAATCTACCAGTTAACTAATGTTATTGTTACACGTGCAGTCAAGAAATCAACATTTTAACAATTAACCACAGCAGCAGTCAGTTGCAACTTTACCCCCCTGTGAGGTCGATGAGAGTACATAACTGTACCATCAGCCATCCACATGGACATGATTACTTTCATGTCCCTTTTCTGAGCATGTCTTTATTAGCTAAAACCATTTTTTTTGCCTCAATGTGTAAAACACATGCCCACCTTTTGATCTTTCAAGGACAGGGAGAGTTTCTGCATGTGTAAATGGGTCAAATTGTCCTTTGCAGAGATGTATTTGCATTTGTTTAAACTGAGCCAGAGCAGCAGATGACTCAGTGTGTTACCACACAAAGTCTATGCAAGCTGTCAGGTGTGTTGTCTGTCACATAAACAAACCTTTGAAGTGCAGTTCTTTGCACTGAAGTCATCACCCACCCCAAAACGTCTGGTAGTCGGGTTTAAACACCAAAGATGTTAAATCACAAATGCTGTTTCATCCTCTTAGAAAAGGGCAATAATAATCGCTCAGTGTTTGCCAAAACGAGCTTCCACGTCTGGCAGTATTAAATGTGACTCACACCAGCTTTGATTGCCAATTATATAATCCTTATATAATAATGACTTTATGTCAACAAAGAGAATGTGCAGGAGCCCAACTTAAAGAGCTCTGGTAGCGGGTCTCGGCCCTCCCAATCCTGAATGATGGCACTGCCTTGTAGGTCAGCTTTCTCTTCTACTTTTGTCTATTTCGGATGATGGTTTATGCATATGGATAACAGCCTTAGACAGGAAGAAAAAAAGAGAGCTTCCAGAGAATACGAATTGTAGAACTGCTTTAGTTTTTCCACTAGAAAGACTGAGCTGATTGATGATGCAAATCTGAGCCTGTTGGCCAGCTGCTTGAAGTAATGTGTTCATTGTGTCTGAAAAATCAATACCAGGGAGATAAGTTGCAAACTTCAATGAATAAATTAGTCAGGGTTGCTTGTGGTGGGTCTAATCTCAAATGACCTAGTGGGAAAACAAAGTCTCAGGCAGCTCACCGAGTGTGGACTTTGAAATCTGCAACAACAGGACTCCTAAGGGACCCTTTTCACGACAGGGGACACTCATAGGTAATCACATCTGGGGCTGATTTAGCAGATGCAGCATGTGACTATGAATCACCTTTAACTAACAGCCAGATTTGGAGAAAGATGCTGTTTTCCCACTATATCAAAGATGTCAGACACATATTTTGTCAGCCCAGTTTAATGTCAGAGCCAGACAAGGAATGTATTTCTTCTGATGATGCATTTTGAAAACAGATGTCAAACCACCTGTAAATATCTCAGTTGTTCCACATTTAGTCAGTCAGTTTAGTTTTTGGAATTAAACACCAAATTGCATTTTAACTTCTGATAAAGCACAAATCATGATAAAAAAAAGTTATCAAGATTTAAAAATGCTATAAAGAATTTCCACAGAGATGGATACCATACAAACAGTTGTGTATGATGATTTGAATACTTTACATTTTCATTCTAATAACCTAAGATAACACCTTTACCCTGACTTTGATGTAACATTTTACTCTTTCTAGTAAAATGAAATGATCATCATTTCAGAACTGCTCAGCAATCCTGCAAACTTACCAAAATGTAATCTAATGCAATGCTGGCATTACTTAATATGGTTATTTTGGAAAGACTTTACATAAAATATTGGCTTACCTTCCAGGTCTGAAAACCTTAAACTTGCATTCTTCTCAATTACCAGCAGGGAGCAGCTCCTCTGGTTAAAGAAAGAAGTCAGATTATATAGAAGTTTAAGAAAATCCACCTCCCAGTGCGAGGATAGCCTCAGAATTGGGGTGATGTTACCAGCCTTAACCTCAAATGTTAAGGTTGAGGTTAAGGCTGGTAATGCGTGATTACAGTTTATTGATGATTTTACCATTCTCGTCTGAGTTTACACATAAAATAATTTTCTTTCAGAGAATAATCATCTATTTTCTCAGAGCAATGTGCTGTATTGTTTTATTTTAATTATTTAACCATTTTCTTCTTCTCCTTAATTCGTAATGAAGACACTCTTTATGCCAAAAAAGGAACTAGCTGCTGAACCCTGTTAAGTTAAAAAAAAAATCTTCCTCCTCCAGAACTGATCTCGCCAAAGGACCTGACCTTCTCAGAGATCGGCTCCAGAAGCTTTAGGACCTCATGGAAGACGGACGCCACCAATGTTGAGTCCTACCTGGTTCAGTTCAGGCCGGCAGATGACCCCGACGGGCATTTTGTGTCCATGTCTGTGCCCGGAGACTCCCTCACTGCCTTCCTGCCCTACCTCAACCCTTACACTCGCTACGAAGTCAACATCTACGCCCACTACGAGAAAGGGGAAAGCTTGCCTGTGACTGGCTATCAGACCACGCTAGAAGGTATTTATACTGTCATAAACAATTTATTTATGCTTTTCTTTTTCCACACTGCTAAGATATTTTGTTAATCAACATAAAGGTGTAGTACAGATATAAACCTGTTTTTAATACCAAGACCAAACTTGTGATAGAACAAATTAAGTGATTAAGTGTAATATTGAACTGGAAGGTGTATTGATTGATTCACAACGTTGGTTGCTGCAGGTTACCGCAGAACAATAGGCTCAGGTTTTGGACAGTGGCAGCATGAATGAGTAAAGATATGCAGTTAAAGCTGAGGGTGTCTGATTCACTTGTGTCACAGAACAAGGCCCAGTTAGCAACCTCAGAGTATCTGAAGAGACAACAGACAGCTTCAGAGTGTCATGGCTAGCAGCTCCCGGACCAGTCATTCGCTACCGACTCAACTATGAACCGGTTGACGATGAGAGCCGGAGGATGGAGACGACCACCACTGGCAGGGAGATAACCACCGTGCTCCACGAGCTTCGGCCTCAAACCACCTACCGCGTCACCGTCACTCCCGAATATCCGTCCGGCCCCGGAACGCCGCTACAGACTGTGGGCACTACCAAAGAAGGCAAGTGTGGTTATCGACATATGCAACAAAAACATAAAAAAGCATAAACTATCGTTAATAAAAAGTTAATGGACAATAACCTTTTTAATATCAGTTGTACACTTTTAGACTCTGCTGCATCAAAGGAAGAGTAGTTTGTAGCGGGTTTAAAAGCTGGGCACCAAAGAAAAAAGATCATTAGCCCCATTTAATATTGGGTGTATGTACCCACAGACTGCAGAGGTAAATTAGCTAAATCTGGCATATGGCATCTTTTTCACTATGGGATGAACGTCATTGTATGTGCTTCCTAGTTAAAAACCAAATGAAAACAAATATGAACACAAGAAGAACCAACAAATACTAAAAACTCTGTGGTAGCATTAAACTTCCTGTCTGCCTGAGCCAAAGCATCTTGGGAACTGTAGTGCCAAGGCTAAAGCTGAACAGGAAACGGTTCAGTTAGCTGAGCCTGATGCTGTGCCATAGATCTCCATGTAACAGTGTGAAAATTGAAAAAACAAACAAACAAAAAATAAAAAAGGCTTCACAGGGTTAACTATTAATGGGCAACAGATGTTCTTATAAATAAGAGCTACATGAGTGAAGCTTCAGTTGAAGGAAATCTTTGTTGTTTTCGGGACAAACTGAGCCCAGAAGTTCAAGTAGTTGGCTCAGTGGCTCATTGAGTCACCGGTTCTGATCCCTGGCAGGTGCCTACAGACATGGGGTGATCATTTACTTGGTGCTAGGGGACTTTAAAAACTATGAAAATCTAATTGCACCTTTAAATCACAAAGGATTTGGGGATGATTAAAACTTAATGGGTCCAAGCTGTCGTTCCGGCTTAAAGAATGGGAATAAATCAGACTTTATTCTGATAGAATGAAGTGTCTCTTTAAAGTCATTGCGGTGCCCGGGAGTGTGGGAGTGTGCACATTTTTTGACCCCTGCGAGCTCTGCGAAGTTAGCGCAGCCTGCCTCCTGTTGAACTCCTCGTCAGATCTGTGCAGCCTTACAGGGAAAGGAATGAAAAACAGACATAAACTCAGAGATAGAAATGGACCATGGTGCACTCAGAGGCGATAAACAACAAAGACAGGAAGCAAACTGAAGATGTTTTTCTGAAGTTTTGTAGATTCGAGCACAGGCGGATTTACTGCTTTTAGAGTGGAATGATGAGCCTTCCAAAGATGCTTAGGATTAAGATTATAATCTTTTATCCAAAACTGAAGACAGAGGCTGGAAATAAACAAATCATACTCCTTGGTGCCATGGAAACAGCTTTTCTTAGCGTTTACCTTTCACCTCCTGTTCCTTTCAGCTCCTTCACATAGTGCAGCTGCGTGTCGTCTGAGTCGACTTTATTTTTGTTAGTTTTTTTGGAATTTGACAGTTTATAAAATGGGACAGGATTAATCCCAGCTTGCACCTCTTTGACATGAAACGCCCAGCTGGCCCTCAGATGGATTTATTCTCCCCCTCATTTGGCTTGTTCCCATTAGAACATGACTTTACCTCAAAACTATAAATCGATGCAGAGCCTTGAGGTTTTGCATACATTCTTCCTTTTTTGTTAGCAGTTTGTCCCACCTCCCATAGCACACAGTTACATAGGAGTCAGTTAACTCTTTGTCCCAGTTTTCCTGACTGATATCAGGGGGACAGTTTTTGCTTAAAAATACATCTACAGTAAGAAAAATGCACACGCAGGAAGCTCTGCCTATGACTCACGGTTTATTTTAACAGTTATTTTTCAAAGGGGAAATTTTGAATCATACTTCACTTCTAGAGTCTCTTTGACTAATTGACATGCTGGTAGCTGCCCAGTAAAAACAATTTTCTTCTGCGCTGCTCCAGTGGAGCAACTGGAGTTCGTGTCTTAGTCAAGTAGTCCTCCGGCTCAGAGAGTTTCCCATCCAGTTTTTTTCTTCTCCAGTCACATGATGCATGATTAATGGGCCACAACACATGCACCTTTTTGTCTGCTTGTTTGTCTCTTTCATCTGTTTCCATGAGAAAAGCTGTTTTTCTTTGTTTTTCAGATAAAAAGCCCCCTCAAACACAGAGCGTAGACACTTTATTTTTGAATTAAACCACACAGGTAGCAACGAGAAGTCAGGCGGTAAAGAAGTCTATGGGAAAATGTTCTCTGTTGATTTATGACCTCAGTAAATACTTTCCTTGTGAGTATATAGTCTCAATTACTAGTTTCAAGTCTCATTTAATAAAACACCATGTTCGTTTAGTAAATTATGGTCTCCATTAGAGTCAAAAAGGACTATAAAGCTGTGTGTGCTTTAGGGTTGGTCTGTCTGTAATTGACAGGTCTCTACCCCCAGATTTACCCCTCGTTTATTACACATAGTTTAAAAACACCAACACAGTGGCAGCAAAAATCCTCAGAGAGATTTCACCAGCCAATGGGGGACATCATGGTGCATGGAGGTAGAGTAACCATTAGAGATGAAAAATTGAGCATGTTCTATGTAATTAAAGCAATTGCCAGTGTGAGTGATGGATACCATGTGATAGGGTAAACACATTGATGGGTTAGCGGTGTAACTGGAGCCTGAATTGTTGGGGTATATAATGGCAGCATAAACTATCAGATGTGAGACACAAAGAGCAGTCTGTGGTGTATCATCAGCATTGTATTGCTTCTGCTGGTGGTTAGACTTGTGCAGGCAGCCATCAAGGTAAAAAAAAAAAACCCCATCAACTAAAACAGGCTAAAAAGCTCAGTAGACTTGATGCTAATTTCATGACTTATCATTTTACACAGACTTGGATCGTACATATCTGAAGCATTGATTATTTTAAGTTCCTTTGGCTAAAAAGCAAAACTTAATCTCTGTATGAAAAGTGACTTTCGGTGGTAAAACATCAGACTCACCTGACAAAATATCCAATTTTCAGCTTAATTAGCATTTATTAATGCACATTTGTATTCCAGCTTATCTTCATTCTGGTCTGTATAGCTAACGTAGAGTCTTTAAAATAAACTGCATGGCTGTTTAAAGGTGCACACGATTTCTGTGTCAGCTTTTGCACACAGCCGCGATGTGCCGATCCCCTGAGATTAACCGATAATGTTTTTTTTATTACCGCCCAACAGCCACTGTTAATATTTGAGGTTTTCCGTAATTGCTGTGACTAAATGCTGGAAGAGAACCAGATCATAACAAGGACTCTTAAAACAAACATTTAATGGAAGTCTGTGTTTAACATGAGGCTCTTTTGCTCCAAAATATTGTAAATGATCTGATTTTCAATACCCGGCGAGGCTTGGAGGTCAGAATTATTGTTACTGGAGAGAAATAATAAACACTCAGAGCATGAGAGAGGGGAGAGGAGGAAGCCTTCCAGTTTTCATAGAGGGTTATTGTTAGTATTAAAAATTGCTTCTTTTACCTCTTGGGTATTATTTTTGTGACTTTACCCATAATTTCTGATATCACTTAGGTTAATTGTTAAGAATATGGTAAGTCAAAACAACCTTAAATCTTAATATAGGTAATGTTTTTGGCATTATTTGACAAAAAAAGTCATAATAAGCTTTCAGCATTGCATCACATTGGAGCGAAAGCGGGAGGTAAACCTCTGTACCTCCTCTGGAGTCAGATTTTAGTCTTTAGGGAATCTAGCCAGTGAAGGGAGAGTTTAGCTAATCACATGTATTTTATTTAGATTAGATCAGGTGGTTGCTCTGTTGTGTTATGAATACCACTAATGTTGGGTGAATTTGAGCATAGCATTAGTTCTGGAGTGTCATTAAGTAGAGCTGATCTCATTTAAAGCTCATTTCAGTTGTTTTGGCTGATGACTTATGAGACGCTTCAGTTCGATAAACCTGATATATCAGGGTGCACTATTTAAGCTGCTTAAGCTGCCGCTGCTGCAAGCTTCTTTGCAACCCAGAAGTGCTAAATAACGTGCTTCATATTTTTCATGTGTGCTCTGACCTTTGAGAGGGTCCTGCTTTCCATGTTTGAACTATAATATTCAGCTTTGAATCTTACGTGAAACCATACTATCAGAACAGCCTGCTTGTTTGAAGCACATGGATATGCCTGACTTAATTGGAGATTATGTATCGGAATTTAAGGAGCAGGACCACGCCTCAAAACATGCTCCTTCCGGTTCTCATCTATATAGGTTCCCTCAGTTCTGCAAGCTGCCAGGCCCGTGACCCGTTGCCGTTCCCTTCGAGGCCTTCCCCAAACTGCAGCTCAGTTCATGTCCAAGCATTCACCTTTACCTACTAAAACTCTCTCAAACCTAAAATGAGGACGTGGGCCCTAGTGAATCTGGTTTTAAGGGCATATGAGGTGTTCAAACCAAATGCAAAGTATAGATTTTACAAGCTACAGTGGCAGACAAGTCTATTTAAAGATGTGAACAGAGGAAATTTGAAAATATTTTGTCAAAAATCTGGTCTTAGGCTGTATTGCAAAAGACTATAAGACTGTGGAGTGATTAAATAGCATTTTATTATCACCATCATCATCATATAAAAAGGTTCTGCAAAAATGTGAATAGACTCAACACTGTGCTGGGCGACACGTATTTATTTATTTATTTTTATAAACTGCATCACTCTGTGTTGTGAAAACAGAATCACCAGCTGAAATTATTCCGCTAGCTTCTCCTGACGCTCCTGACACTTTTTCTTTTTTCCACTTTATGGAATATTTTTGTACTTTAACATTAGTTATGAAACCTGCCTGCACGCAGGTCTGCTTACACATTCTCAGTTTTTGCATGTTTGTGCATGTTTGTCGGCACATATACATTGGGGTTGCATGCAGATGGTCCTCTCAGAGACCTGCAAGCATGGTCATAATTTACGGACGAGTTTTACATCAGGCATACTCCTGTAGAGGCTTAACGCCATAGAAGTGAGCTACATCCTGGTGAACCACAGGTTTAAACACACAGTGTTTAACTGCAATGACCTCACTTTGATTACAGCTTGAAACATTTTTCCTAGAGGCAAAAATTCCCTCAATTCATACTCT